TGTGGTTTATTTCTGGATTTTCTATTCGATCCATTGGTCTGTATGTCTGTTCTTGTTCCAATACCATGCAGTTTTGATGATTATGGCTTTGTAGTAGAGTTTGAAGTCTGGGAGTGTGATGCCTCCATCCCTTTCTTTTTTTTCAGGAGAGCTTTGGCTATTCGGGGTTTTTGTGATCCATATGAATTTCATCAATAATTGTTCTATTTCTTTGAAGAATGACATTGAATTTTGATTGGAATAGCATTGAATCTGTATATTGCTTTCGGAAGATGGCCATTTTATAATGTTTATTCTTCCAATCCATGAGCACGGAGATTCTCTCCATTTCTTTGTGTCTTCTTCTATTTCTTTTAACAGTGTTTTATATTTCTTTGTATAGGTCCTTTACCTCTTTTGTTAGTTTATTCCCAAATATTTGATTTTTTTGTTTCAATAACGAAAGGGATGGTTTTTTTGATTTCTTCTTCTTCAGATTTGTTGTTGTGTATAGGAAGGCTACTGAATTTTGCGTGTTGATTTTGTATCCTGCCACTTTACTGAACTGATTGATGAGTTGAATTAGCTTTTCTGTGGAGTTTTTGGGGTTTCTCTATGTATAATATCATATCGTCTGCAAATAGTGATAGTTTGACTTCTTCTTTTCCTATTTGGATTCCTTGATGTCTTTCTCTTGTCTTATTGCCTGGCTAGGACTTCCAGTATTATATTGAAAAGCAGTGGTGAGAGTGGACATCCTTGTCTTGTTCCAGATCTTAATGGAATTGCTTTCAGCTTTTCACCATTGAGAATGATAGCTGTGGCTTGTCATAGATGCCTTTATGATGTTAAGGTATGTTCCTTGTATCCCAAGAATTTCAAGGGCTTTTATCATGAATGGGTGTTGCACTTTGTCGAAAGCTTTCTCAGCATCTATGAATTATCATATGGTTTTTATATTTCTTTTGTTGATGTGTTGGATAACGTTGATTGATTTTCGGATGTTAAACCATCCTTGTGTCCCTGGAATGAATCCTACTTGGTCGTGGTGAATTATCTTATGGATACATTGTTGGATTCTGATGGCTAGAATTTTATTGAGGATTTTTGCATCAGTGTTCATTAGGGAGATTGGCCTGTAGTTTTCCTTTTTGTGTTGTCCTTGTTCGGTTTTGGTATTAGTGTAATGTGGCTTCATAGAACGTGTTTGTATTGTCCCTTCCTTCTCAATTTTTTGGAAGAGTTTGTGAAGATAGGCACTAATTCGTCTCTGAATGTTGGTAGAATTCATTTGTAAATCCATCAGGTCCTGGGCTTTTGTTTTTGGGGAGGTTTTGATTACCATTTCAATTTCGCTAATTGTAATTGGTCTGTTTAGGTGTTCTATTTCTTCTTATCTAGCTTTGGTGATTGTAGAGTTGTAGGAATTGTCCCTCTCCTCTAGATTGTTAAACTTGTTTCCATATAACTGTTCATAGTAGTTACTGATTATTCTTTTGATTTCTGCTGTGTCCGTTGTGATTCTCCTCTTTCATTGATGATCCTGTTTATTTGTGCTTTCTCCCTTTTTTCCTTTGTGAGCCTGGCTAGGGGTTTGTCTATTTTATTGATTTTTTCAAAGAACCAGCTCTTGTTTCATTGATCTTTTGGATTGTTTTTTAGTTTCAATTTCATTTATTTCTGCTTTGGTTTTTATTATTTTTTTCTTCTACTGTTTTGGGGTTTTTTTTTTTCTTTTTCTAGATCTTTGAGCTTCGAGATTAGGTTGTTTCTTTGAGTTCTTTCTTGTTTCTTGATGTGAGCTTCTATTGCTATATATTTTCCTCTTATTACTGCTTTTGCTGCATCCCATACATTAGGATATTGGTGTCCTCCTTGTCGTTCAATTCAAAAAATTTTTTAATTTCTTCTTTCATCTCCTCATTAGTCCAGTGGTCTTCCAGTAGTGTGGTTTTTAATCTCCATGAGGTAGGAAAGTTCCTTGCCTTCTTTTATGGTTTATTTCTAGTTTGATGCTTCAAGGTCAGAAAGATGGTTGATATGATTTCAATCTTGGTGTATCTGTTGATGTTTGTCTTGTGCCCAGTATGTGATCGATCCTGGAGAATGATCCGTGTGCGCTTGAGAAAAATGTGTACTCTGCTTTTTTGGGGTTTAGTGTTCTATAGAGTCTGTTAAGCCCAATTGCTCTAGGTCCTTATTTAGAGCTTTGGTTTCTTTACTTATTTTTTGTCTTGTTGATCTATCCATTGTTGATAGTGGTGTGTTGAAGTCTCCCACCACGTATGTGTTTTCTCTGATGTCTGTTTTCAGAGAGGACAACAGTTGTCTGATATATTTTGGTGCTCCTTCGTTTGGTGAGTATATGTTAATGAGTGTTATTTCTTCTTGAAGTATTGTCCCCTTGATCATAATGTAGTGACCATTGGGGTCTCTTTTTATCTTTTTGAGTTTGAAATCTGTTTTATCTGATATAAGTATAGCTGTTCCTGCTTTCTTTTTTGGTCCATTTGCTTGTAGGATTGTTTTCCATCCTTTAACTTTGAGCCTATTTTTATCTTTTGTAGCTAAATGTGTTTCCTGGAGACAGCAAAAGGTTGAGTTTTGTTTCTTAATCCAGGCTGCAACTCTGTGTCTTTTTATTGAAGAATTTAGTCCATTTACATTTAGAGTTAATATTGATATGTTAACATCTGTATTTGCCATTGTGTTTGTCTTTCCTTTGATTTTATTTATTTATTCTTTTAATAACTTTTTTTTTTTGGCCTTCTTTCATTGTTATTCGTCCCTCTGAGGTTCTGGCTTTAGGACTCCTTGTAGTATTTTTTGGAGTGGGGGTTTAGTTGCAATGAAATTCTGGAGTTTCTGTTTGTCTGGGAAGGTCCATATTCTTTCTTCAAAGAGGAAGGAGAGCTTTGCGGGATAGAGTATTCTTGGTTGGCATCTGTTTTCTTGGAGTCTGTTGACTATGTCCCTCCACTCTCTCCTTGCCCGTAGTGTTTCTTCGGAGAAGTCTGATGTCAGCCTGATTGGCTTTCCTTTGAATGTTATCTGTTTCTTCCCTCTTGCCAGCTTCATTATTTTTCCTTGTCCTGGATTCTTGGGAGCTTTACTATTATGTGTCTTGCTGTATTTTTCCTTTCGTCGTGGAAGTTTGGTGTTCTTCTTGCTTCTTGTATATCAATTTTCAGCTCCTTCTTCACATTTGGGAAGTTCTCTTCAATTATCTCTTTGAATATTTTCTCTGTTCCTACTTCTCTCTCCTCTCCTTCTGGTATTCCTATAACTCTTATATTTCCTTTCCTCATGGAGTCAGATAGTTCCCGAAGTCTTTCTTCATTCTTTTTCCTTCGTACTCTCTTTCCTTTTCTGTTTTGGTTCTTTTTATTTCTGTGTCTTCAAGAGTACTTATTCGTTCTTCCATTTCATCAATTCTGCTTTCATTGCTTTTCCCAGAATTCTTTAGTTCTTCCATTAATTCTTTGATCTCCTGCATTTCTTTTACTTCCCTCTTTAGGGACTCAATTTCATTCTTCTGATCGTTGATTATTTTCCCTTATCATTGTTTCCTTTATGACTTCTGTCAGTTTTTAATCACGGCAATTTTAAATTCTCTTTCTGGAAGGCTCAGAAGTTCTTCCAAGTTACTGTCGTTGCAATCTGGGGGCTGGTTTTCTTTTTGTGGAGTGCTTTTTCTCTGGAGAGTTGCTAGGTTGCGTGTTCTTCTCCTCCCTACTGTCTGTTTTCTAATTTGCCGTATGCGTTGGGACACTGTGTTGTTGGGACTGGCCGGCATCTTGGGTGGGCTTCTCTGCTCCCCTCTGGTTCCTCCAGGAGTCATCTGTCAGTTTCAAGCAGTCTTTACTGCTTGAAAGGAGAAAGGTCCCTGTTCTAAAATGCCGATGTGGGGACACACTCCCCTGTGCGCCTGGTCTGCCCCGGCGGTGGGTTCCTGCTCCCCCTCTGGGCTTGGACTGCAGGCCAGAGGGGGTCTGGCATGGGCGAACTTCCCCCGCTCACCTCTGGCTCCTGAGGAAGCCTTCTGCAGGTAGTCTTTACTGAAGAAATGTCCCTATTCTATAATGGTGATGTGGGACACACTCCCTGCACGTCCGGTCTCAGGCACACTCTTCTGCGCGCTTGGTGTGCCCCGGCTGTGGGTGCTCGCTCTCCCTGTGGGCTCAGACTACTTGTTCGGAAGGGGCCCGGTGTGGGCTAACTCCCCAGCTGGCCACTAGCTCCTTCAGGAGCCTGTGCTGGCTTCAAGTCGCTAGGTGGCGCCAGAGATCTCTCCTAGAGCCCTTGGGGAGCTGATTTTCCACCCCGTGGGACAGGGAGCAGAGCGGGGATGGTAGGGTACACCTCAACGGCTTTGGGGTGCTGAGTCTGCCTTGTGCCCCACCGTCATGGGGAACCCACGCCCCTAATTTCATGCCCCGGGTCTCAGTTCCAAAGCCCTCAGTTCCAGGACGCGGGCTGTAGCCCAGATCAGTGGCGCGGGAATGGCGCCTTTTGAATCCCGCTCCCCTGCCTGGGCGCCTGGTTCCTGCTCACTCAGGGAGGGCCTCTGCGCGTCTCCCCGCAAGCCTAGGGTAACCTATGTATTTTCACGCATTCACTTCTCACCCCGATTTGCATGCACGTGCTTACTCATGGCTTCAGGAAAATCAAAGCTCTCAATGCAAATTTTGCCAGTTTTGGAGGTGTTTATATTCTTGTGGCCCTCTCTGCCTTCATTGTTACATGTTGTCTCCTTTCTAGTTACATCAATCCAGTGAAAATTCGGTCTTCGTCATGGATCCTCAGGAAATCCGTTCACATCAAGCAATTTCATGAATATTAGTAACATCTAATATGAATTGGCCTGGATGGGGTTGATTCAAGGAACACAAGGGCTATGAACATTTCTCCAGCTCCGTTTGCCCTCATCTTCCCCCGTTTCTCTCCTTATGCTTTTCCTGCCAGATTGCCTCAAAGAGCCACCTTAATGCACACTCTCCTAGTATTCCCCTCAGACTTTCATATCCTGACTCATAAGAATGCTTGGAATAACCAAGTACCTTCTGCATGATATTTTTAATTTTTTCACTTTTTCATTCTTACATTGCTGGCTCTCAGGACATGGTGGTGAAAAGCTAGATAAGACCCACACCCTTGGGCCTCCCTGGTGGCGCAGCGGTTGAGCGCTGGGTTGCGAGGCTGCCCGCGGCCTCTGCGGCGCCGGTTCGATCCCCGGCTGCTCCCCAGTCACCGGAGGAGGGTCCCACATGGCGCGCAGACCTCACCTGCCGCCCGCTGCTCCCCTCAGCAGTGTACTTCGGTCCTTCTGCCTGCTCTGCTCCCCGCTCTGGCTCTGGTGAATTCTCTCACCCTCCCGCGCTTCTGACTGTACCCAGTGCTTGTATAAACAAACAAATGAAACAAAATAAATAAATAAATAAACATGCCTCTTAAAAATAATAATAATAAACTTTAAAAAAAAAAAAAGACCCACACCCTTGAAGAACTTACATTCTAATGTGAACTAATGTATATTAGCAGTTAGTACCATAAATGCCATTAGGAAAATAAGTAGGGAGATTATGTAGTAATTAAGGGCTAGGTTGGGGAAGAGAAATACTTCAATAAGTTATTCAGTGAAATGCTCTGAAAACATGGCCATTGTAGTTGCTGGCCACCCTCTTCTGAGATGAGCAAAGTCACCTTACATAAAATCAGACCCAATGTGGGGTTGATGTTGTTACTATACTATAGTACTGTGTGCTAAATCCACCTTCAAATATGTTTTTCTTTTTATATTTTCATCCTTCTGCCATTTTGATGATGATGTTGATAATGTAGCATTGTTTCTTCTCTAGATAGTCAACATGAGTGCTCATTTTTCCCAAGTGACAGTGATAGATTAAAAGTTAGTATTTGCTGGTATTTCCCCTACAGGTATTCCAAGTACAGAACACTACGAGAGTAGCAGTAAAGGACTTGTCTTTGAATATATATAGAGGGCAAATCACTGTACTTCTAGGGCATAATGGGGCAGGAAAATCGACTGCTATAGCCATTCTCTCAGGTATGTGTTCAGATGGTATCCTCATACAAACATTGTATTCATTGTTACTATAAAGAGTTGCTAGAATGTCATAAAATACCAAATTTTCAACAAATGTTATGAGACATGCAAAGGAAACAAGAAGTTTGCCTCACATACTAGAGGAGAATCAGGCATAGAAACTTCCTGTGAGAGATACCTAATGTCAAATTTTACAAAGACATCAGCATAACCCAGAGAAATGAGTTCAGAGAACTAAAGGCTTAAAATGAATGACAAAGAAAGAATACTAAAAGCATCCAGAGAAAAAAGAGTTACATATAAGGAAACACTTGATAGACAATCCACAGACTTCTCACTGGAAATATTGTAGGAAGGAAGGGAATGGTGAGAAATACATAAAGCCCTCAAAGAAAAAGATTTCCAACCTGGAATACTTCAGCCACACTTTTATTCAAGACTGGAGAAGAGATAAGGAACTTTACCAAAAATATATAAATAACTAAATAAATAGATCATCAAATCAGCCTTGAAAGAAATATTAAAATGATTATTATAAGATTACAATTCATTGTTAAAGGTGAAAACTCTGAAACATGGTACTGGGTGGGACTGGAGGACAACAGAGGTAATTTGGGACACAGGGTCACTCATAGTATCATGCACACCTCTGAACACTTTTATCCTCTTATGGGTTCAAAGTAATATTTCCTCCATTAAGCTTACCCAATCAATATAGCTATGGATAAATGTTATGTAAGTATTTTAATATTCTCTTAGATTACCTTGTGTTACTTCCCCTAACTAGAATCTAAATTCTTCGAGGATGTAAGTTTTATTGTCAAGATTTTTTCAAGTTTTAAGAGTCTATAGTCTAGGACAGTGCACAACTTATAATGACTGTTAAAATAATAAGAATAATTTATAAATATCAAATGAGTGATGGCATTGCTGAAATGTTCTAGTACAACAAGCTTTTTAGTGTTTTTATTATCTAGGTTACAGGTACTCATACTCATTGAAATTAGACCATGTCATTAATCAAAAAATACAGACTATAATCCATTTAATCTCAACATTCCAACGACAACAATTGATATTTTCTACTGTGTGAGATACTGCTAATTCCAATGCATACTTCAGCCATACTTTTATTTGTTTATTGTGGTGCTAATGAACATTTGATTGACATATTCTTCATGAAGGCTAAGCTTCTATTATGTCATCTGCTTGGTTCTAGGTCTCTATCCTGCTACCAGTGGAGAGGTCTATGTTGATGGATATGACATCTCAAAGCAGATGATCCAAATTAGGAAAAACATAGGCATATGTCCCCAAAAGGACTTGTTTTTTAATTACTTGACAGTATCGGAACACCTTTATTTCTATTGTGTGGTGAGCCAAAGATATGTTCCTTTTCCTCATCAAATTGGTGCACTTTAGGTAGATTATCAACTATCAGTATCCTTATTCTTAGGAATTTCATGAATTGATTTTAATGAATTCTTAAACAGGCAAAGGGAAATGACATCATGTAGTTGATTTAAGCAGAGTCAACATAAAATGTTATTAAGGATAAAGTAGGAAGCACCATGTAAACACTGACTCCTCTTTCCAGATAAAAGGAGTACCTCCAAAGAAGCGTCCTACAGAAATTGACAGTATGCTGAGAACTTTTAACCTGCTAGAAAAGAGTAATGAATTTTCAAGCACACTGAGTGGAGGAATGAAGCGCAAACTTTCCATCATTATCGCACTTATAGGGGGCGCCAAGGTAAAAAGAAAAGAAAATGAAACTGAATCTCCACTACAACCGGTCTAAAAATATCAGCTGACAAATCTGAGAGCTGAGATAGATCAAATACCCCAAAAGGAACCTCCTAAATGAAATCCTGGATCACATTCACATTATCAACGTAGTTTGTATAAAACGGTCACAGGTTCAAAATTATCCCAGCATTCCTAATTCACTTTTAGTCAAAAATTATTTTCTTAGATTAATTGGGACACATGATTAAAAAACAAAACCAGAGTAGGCCTATGACTAATAAGACCCTAGTGGCATTAGTCCATAATGCTTACCGTTGATCCTAAATTGCTCTTCTGGCCTTTAGGTGGTGATACTTGATGAGCCGACATCTGGGATGGACCCCGTCTCCAGGAGGACCACCTGGAATCTCCTTCAGAATTATAAACAGGATCGTGCCATCTTAATGACCACCCACCACATGGATGAAGCGGACATCCTGGGTGACCGCATTGCCATCATGGTCCAGGGGTCCCTGCGGTGCTGTGGCTCTTCAGTCTTCCTGAGAAAAACATATGGTCTCTCTCTTTGATCATTCTTTGGATAGTGAAGTATTTATAGTCTTCTAACATACTCTTCATGGATTATTGATGCCCTGATAAGATGTTTCTAACGTAATTAATTTTCTAACAATTTTTTGTCTACCCAAAACTTCAGTGATTCCTTCTGTCTTATTAAGGTTCAACCATGAGCCCTTAGAAATAATGGTTATATTCTAGGTCTAGCAAATGGATAAGAAGTAACAAATATCAACTGGCAAGGATGCAGAGAAAAGGGAATCCTTGTACATACAGTGAAGTTGGGAGTATAATGCAGTCACTATGGAAAACAGTATTAAACTTCTTCAAAAATTGAAAACTAGAACTATCATATGACCTAACAGTTCAAATTTTGGTTATTTATCTGAAGAAGATAAAAACACTAACTTGAAAAAAATATCTGCAACTTCATGTTCATTGCTGTATTATTTACGTTAATCAGGATGTAGAACAATCTACATGTCCACTGATAAATGAATGAATAGATAAAGAAAATTCGGTGTTATTTTATCACTGGAGTATTACTCAGCTATAAAAAGGAAGGAACTGTTTCTGTAAGCAACAATAGTGATGGACTTTGAGGGTATTATGCTGTGAAATACAGTACCTTATGGAGCTCACTTACATGTAAAGTCTAAAAAATAAGAAAAACCAAAAGCTTACAGATACTGTTTACAGATTAGCACTTCCCAGAGGTGAGACTGGTGGGAGGGTGAAATGAATAAAGGTGAGCAAAAGATACAAACTTTCAGTTATAAAATAAATCCTAGAGATAAAATATGTAGTCTGGTGACTGTAGTTAAAACACTGGATTGTAAATTTGAAAGTTGTTAAAGGAGTAGTACTTAAAAGTTCTCATCACGAATGGCACATATTAAAAAAACTAGCAACAACAAATGTTGGCGAGGTTGTGGAGAAAAAGGAACTCTCCTGCACTGTTGGTGGGAGTGCAAACTGGTCCAACCACTATGGAGAGCTGTGTGGAGATTTCTCAACCTACTAAACATAGAGCTTCCATATGATCCAGCAATTCCACTCCTAGGTATTTACCCAAAGGACACAGAAACATCAATTCCAAAGAACACCTGCACCCCTATGTTTATAGCAGCACAATTTGCAATAGCTAAGCTTTGGAAACAGCCCAAATGCCCAAAAATAGATGACTGGATCAAGAAGATGTGGTACATATATACCATGGAATATTACTCAGCATTCAAAAAAGATAAACACATGCAATTTGCAGCAACATGGATGGCGCTGGAAGGGATCATGCTCAGCGAAATAAGCCAAAAAGAAAAAGAAAAATACCGGATGGTCTCACTCATAGCAGGAATCTAGAAAACTTAAATAAGGGATCAGGAAAATGAATAACTATAAGAAAGTGAAAATCAAAATCAACAAAAAACTATGAACCAGAGACACTTTTTGGGGGGTGGGGGCCGGGAGGGGAGGGATTGGGGTCAGAATGGGGCATGTGCAGTTGTATGGGGGAATATAAAAATAAAATTTATTATTAAAATAAATAAATAAATAAATAAATAAAATATATATATTCACTGATTTAAAAAAAAATAAATAAAAAAAATAAAAGTTCTCATCACAAGAAATATGTGTGATGTTAAATATTTCCTTACTGTGATGATCCTGGCACAATATGTACGTTTATAAACATTAACGTTACAGGTCAATTATAACTAAATTTAAAATGACCATTGGTATACCTCTTAAACCTATTAGAATGTTAACATTACAAAGACTGATGATACCAAGTGTGGTAATTGAAAATATTGTAGACTTTGCTTATGTAAAAGTAAAATGGCACAAATATTTTTGAAAAAATTTCATGGTTTAAATAAAATTAGGCATTTACATTCCTACCCAAGAACAGTGAAAACATATGTCCACAGAAGGGCTTATACAGAACATTTACAGTCGATTTACTTAATAACCCCAATGGAAACACTCCAGTGATCATCATAAAGTGTGATATATTCATACATTGGAAAATTAATTAGCAATAAAAATGAACTGTTGATACATACAAGAATATTAATCTCAAAAACATTGATGGAAAGAATCAAACACAAAAGAAAATTCCCTGTATTGTTTTATTGATATTAATTTTAGAACATGTCAAATCAATCTATGCGGATAGAAATCAGATCACTAGTTGCCTGGATTGACTGCAGGTTGGCAGGTTCCCAACCATTATTTCTTTGAATAAACTATATTTCTTTCATTTTCGTATAAGACTCCCAAATTGTATATATTACTTTGTTTTTGAAGCCCTCTAATGAATTTTTCAATTTAGGTATTATCCATATATAGAACTTCTTTTGGTGCTTTTAAGTTTTCTATTAAATATCACTTTGTTTTCATGCATTATTCTTACTTTAGTGAGCATCTTCATGGTGGTTATTTTGAATTATCTTCAGTTAAATCATGTGCCTCCACTTACTAGTGTCAAGATCTAGAGATATAATTTTGTGTGTGTTTGGAAAATACTGCTATGTCTGCTTTCTATTGATTTTTCCATTATGTTTGTGATTATATTTTCTGACTTATTTGCAAGGTTTTTTGTATGACTGATATTTCGAATAATATAACAATATAGACTAAAGCAATTGATATTTAGTCCCAGAAAAAAAATGTGTTCTGGTCACCTATGTTTAAACCTCAGACCCTTGCTCTTAGCAGAGGTTGGGATCTGTACAGGTATGAAATTATGGTGTCCTCTTTGAGCTATAGTCCACTTCCACCTTTTTTTGTTCTAACAAATCCTCTTTGCTCTCCATTAATGCAATTTTATTCACCTTAAATGGTATCTGTCTACTCTCTGTCCTCTTCAGTGGCCTTCCAAGGGCCATTTCAGTGAGGGACTGATGTATTTCGGGGTGACTTCTCTCGGCTCTTTTTTCCTACCCTGAGCTATCATAATGCCATTTCAGTGTTTTCCACAATTGCCCAGAGTGCTCCAAGGGATTCCCCTATTACCATCCGCCCCCCATCCCCCAGCTCCCACAAAAGGAGTGCAGTGCACCTAGCGAAGATGCAAAGTGCTTTGAAAAGGCTTCTCAGATCTCTGAAACAGGGATTTTTATCTGATATATATATATATATATATATTTACATATATACTTTACATATAACAGACATCCAATAAATATACAGTTAATGAATTTCAATCTTGTCCACAGATTTCAGTGTCATTAGGACAATAGTTCAAATAACAGAGGCTTTTCTTTTTTCTCTACTTTTATCTCGTTATACAATCCAGCTCATTATTGGTTCCTAGCAAAATCAATAAAAATATGTTTTATTAGTTTGGTTCTTAGACTTAAAGTCAAATTATTTGTGATATGCCCTATCTCCTTGTAGCTCACCCACACCATGGAATGCCACGTGGGCTTTAAAAAAAAAAGTATTAAAAAGTATAGATTTGTCTATATATGAAGTAGAAAATTGTTTTACTAGTCTTACAAATTGATTTTATCAGGTGTGGGATACCATATGGTCATGGTGAAGGAACCTCACTGCAATGTTGAAGAAATCTCCTGCTTGATTAATAATCATATACCAACAGCTACTTTGGAGAAGAATGATGTGTATGAATTATCTTATATTCTGCCTAAAGAATATTCACACAGGTATGGATTCAGGGAATGCCACATCATTGATTTTGAGGTAACAGAAATCATTGCTGTTTTTCCTGGTTTCCTCAGGTTTCATGGGTAGAGTTTATTTTACAAGCCAAAACTCCAGTCATAGTGCCACTTACATTGAAAGGAGAGGTGCCAGGTACTTACTATAGTTTTAATTGGTGATAACTGATGCTAAGTTGGTAGAGTAAAAATTGTCTCTACCAATTTTTGAGCAGATAGAAGGGAATTTATTAAGTTAATGAGGGAAACTTTACTACCATCTCATAGCCAGAGGGACAAGAACCAAGGGAAGATAGTTTGATTGCACTAGTTAATCAAATTATTCATTGAAAGGGGTAGTAAAGAATAGTAACTTTACCTGAGATAACCATCCTAAAAAGGGGAAATGAAAACTAAGAATACTCATCAGTAAAAATGCCTATCTCCGATATGTTTAACTTCTTTTCAAAAGTACTTACAGGTTATTCCCCAAATTCAGAATAGTTCTCATATTCAAGAAAAAATATGAAGGACTTGACCTTTTCTGGAAAATAGAAGAATGTATCCAAAAGGAAGAAAAGGAAGAAGAACCACATCCTTGGACTTTGTTTATTCAGCAAATCTGGAAGTTCTGAGAAGCAGCAGTGGAATCAGGCAACGTAACAGGAACAAGACCCTAGTCATAAGCTAGAGTGAAAGAAAAAAATATAGAGAACTGGAAATATATTCCAGTTATGTATCCTCAGAGATACAGGGTTCATTCCCCACTGCTTAGGGAAAATCAATTTAAAAATGAAGGAATGTTTAGTAGGAAAGCTTTTCATTGGATGCTAACATTTTCTCTTCTTTCCCACCCCTCCTCCTGCTCCTCCTCCTATGTCTTCTTCGTCCAGCTTTGAAGCTCTGTTTACTGATCTGGAAAAGAGACAGAAAGACCTGGGCATAGCTAACTTTGGTGCTTTCATCACCACCATGGAAGAAGTGTTCCTGAAGTGAGCAACAATGCACAGGAAGAATAAAAACCTTTGCGGGGAAAAACAATATCTTAGTCCCCTTTGCAAACTCCCCAGACTTTCAGATTCACACTTCTAGAAAAATGGGAGATTTGGGGCAGGTTTGGGAGGGATGGAAGGAAGGACCTCAGGTTTGGTTTTGTGGTTGTTTTGTTTTTTTTTTTTTTTTAACTATAAGAGCATTGAAAAAATATCAATTTTATAAAATGGTATCTTACAATAATCTTTAATGTGAATGAGTCCAGGGTAATCACTTATCACAGTGTCCTTGTTCTTCTTGCCTCACTAGAGTGTGGCAGCAGTTCTGTGACGGTGTTTGTGAACCCCACTTCCACCCTGGTCACCATGTTGCCCCAATACTGCTTTTGCCATCAGTAGCAAACTCTCTATTCTCCAAAGAAGCTTTTTGGGGATCTTGTTGAGAAATGAAATGCTTTGCACATTTTTGTGTTTTGTTTTTTTTTTTTATGTAGGGTCAGTAGTATGGAATACTCACAAACAAGTAACCAATCTATCCACACTCAACCGCCCTCCCTCCTGAACAAAATCTCAATCACGAACCAGAATAGGAATATGTCCAGAAATGAGAGCGATGTTTCGGCTGTCATTGAAAGCTCTGCAGTTATATATAACACCGGGGTAAGCACCTTTACGGAAAAAGCTGATGTATATTTGGTTAGGGCTCAGGAGTTACATTCTGTCTTAATCCTTGAACAAAAGAATGTGGAGTTCTCAGCTACTGTGGACTCAGCGACCACACCAAATTCCCCAATGCAGAAGTCATGTTCCGTATATAATGTACAACAGAAAACAAGCCTGCTCTCACCATTGTTACTCCTTGGCTCAGTTTTTGTTTTAGAATTTTTTTTTTTTTCAAATTGATAACCCAGAAATTTCTTAGTTCATTGAAACTGGAGTGTGCTGCACTGAGCACAAATTTTTAAAATTTCAATGTAATTTATTTTTAAATTATTATTGAAGTACCATTGTTTCATACCCTTACTAGTGTTTTGACAGTATAGGATTTCCCCCCTCAGGTTGAGTCACCACAGCTCTCCCACCACGAAGCACCCATAGTCCTCCACGGGCATAGTTGTTTAATAATCACGCATGAACAGTATTTTAAGTTTTTGCAGTGGTCGTTGATAGTGTCTACAGGATTTTTTCTTAGTATGATCCTCCCATGCAAAGTCTCTTTCCGTTGCAGCATTTCTCTAATTTGCTTCCAAATTTTCTGTTTCTTCTAAAAAGCACCTGTTTTTCTTGAATCTCTATAGAGTCTGGGGAAAATCATCTAGTTGAGATTTTAGGTTTGTGTTATCAAAAGCCAGACCTTACAGGAAAAAGACAACTTAGAAGCTGAGCATCGATCTGAGGCACACCACAGGGGAGGCACAAGGGAAGGCCCCATAATAGGTGCTGTGGTGTTGGGAGAACTACGGGAAATACACCAGAAGGGAGAAATCAAATACTGTACAAAAATTAACGGTGTAAGAAAATAAATGAAGTAATTAAAATAAAAGTGAGGCCTTAAACAGTTTTTAAAATACCTTATAGCAGAGGTTGGCAAATAATGTAAAGAAATAATAAACATGTAATGTTTTGTGGACCTCATGGTCTGTGTTGCAGTCACGCAGCCCCAACATTGTAGCAGCCATAGACAAGACAGAAGTGGGGCCTTCCTGGTGGCACAAGGGGTTAAGTCTCAGCACTATGAAGCTATCCACAGCCACCATAGCATGAGTTCGATCCCCAGCCAGGGAGCTACCCACGTGGCGCAGCAGACCTCTCCTGTCTCACCCGCTGCTCCCCTCGACAGTGTATTTCAGTCAGTCTGTCTGTTCTGCTCCCCACTCTGTCTCTGGTGAGTCCTCTCACCCGCACCTCTGGCTTACACCTCAGCTCTTGTATGCATAAATATATAAATCTTAAAAAAAAAAAAAAAGGAATTGGTATAGCTGTGTTCTGGTCACACTTTGTTTACATAAGCAGGCCACAGTTCATCAACTCTTGCCTTAGGCAAAACAAAGGCAGATCATGCTATTACGTACAATCTTGTCCTGCTTAGGTTCTATCCCAAGTGCTTATTTATATAAACTTCATGTATCCTCTATAAAATTCTGAAGTGTCTATCTTGATGAACTTCAATGTGAATAACACTATGCTTCTTTCTCCTGTCAGTGTTCCCTCTTCCACCAGCAGTTCTGTGCCATGTTCATAAAGAGGGTGCTGTTCAACTGGCGCAACTGGAATCTGATTTTGCTACAGATATTGGCACTTCTAGGTTCCTTTGCCTTTCTCACAGAGGCTGATAAATTTTCACGGAGTAGACATTATGAGAAGGCCAGACAGATGGATCTGAGTCAATATGGTCAAACCATTGTGCCTTTGTCTATTTCTGGAAATTCTAACATCACTCTGATTTTCTTACAACACCTTAAGAGTATACTGGAGTCTGAAAAACAGTCACTTAGGGAAGTGCAAGGTAAGCTTCATTAAGAAGGACTGCTCTTGGATGAGGATCTGGTGCGTCTCTTGCGATGAAGGTCTTAACCGTGTGTGTGGCTGCCTGCTCCACTCTTTCTGCGAGTCACCAGTCTCATAGAGGCAGCCATGTTAGAATCAAGACGTGGCCTCTAAGGCAACTAGTCATGAAGAGGCAATTACCAGTGGAGGCACTTCCACTATGGATTGTCTACAAGACGTATGTTGTTCCTTTAAGTTGAAAAAAAAAGTCAAAATACATGAGGGGTTTCTTTTTTTTAAAGTTCTGGCCTGAATGTAATGTAACACATGAACCCAGGCCCTACGGTAGGGACTAGTGGTCCTGAATCCTCAAACCAAGGCTTCAATCTCCTAAAATTATCTAAAATGGGAATACTGGAGACTTAATAAGCTAACTCCTAATAACACATAAGATAGTAGCAATGAAAGTTTTCATTAATGGATTCATACATTTTTCTTCTATTCCTTGATCTAGATTTGGGAGAGTAAGAACTTCTTTCTTATCTCTAGAACCTGACCCAATTCAATTCAAATTGAATTGAATGTGGAGAAGAGATTTAAAATGGGAGGGAGTAGAGTCAAAAATGTTAGCTCGAGGGCCTCCCTGGTGGTGCAGCGGGTTGAGTGCAGCGCTGTGAAGCTGACCACAGCCTCTGCAGCGTGGGTTTGATCCCTGACCGACTAGGGAGCTACCCACATGGCGCGGCAGACCTTTCCTGTCTCGCCCATTGCTCCCCTCAGCAGTGTCTTTGGTCTGTCTGCCTGTTCTGCTCCCCACTCTGTCTCTGGTGAATCCTCGCACCTCCCACACTTCTGGCCTGTACCCCAGCTATTATATACAAAAATAAATTTTTAAAAATCTAAAAAAAAGTCAGCTCTAATGTAATTTTGAGTGTCTAAGCAAGAGAGGATAAGGACCTAGAACAAAATAGGACTGAAGGAAAGAAGATGGATTTGACAGATAGATGAAGAGAATGAAAATAGATTTTGTTTTGTCCCTGGTGGTGGAGGAGGGTAAAACCATTCACAGTAAATCTGATTTTTAATTAAATTTTTATTTCAAGATAATTAAAGATTTGCAGTGATGAAAATAATCCTGAGAGCTCCTGTAGACCATTAATAACATCTTGCAAAAAACTAGTACAAGGTCACAACCAGGATATTGACATTCATACAATCAAGATACAAACACCTGGAATTTTGCATACATGTGGTCTTCAATTCTATGGCATAAGTGCCAGGATTATAATTTTAATTGCCAGCATGCATCATAGCTGCATGTTTGGTTTGAGAAGAAGCTACCCAACTTTATAAGTCTCCTACTACATTCCATCTGCAATGTACAAGCTACCCACTTTCTCTACATCTTCCCCAGCATATATGTTGTCTGTCGCTATTTTTTATTTTAGCCATTATGATAGCTATGTAGTAGTATTTCCTTGTTGTTTTAACTTGCATTTCTCTGACTTGCATTTTGATATATTTTCTTGTGTTTATTTGCCACATCTATATCATCTTCAGTAAAATGTGAGTTTGTCTTCTGCTCCTTTTCTAAATAGATGTCTTTTCTTTATAGTGAACTTTTTTTTTTAAGATTTTATTTATTTATACAAGCACTAGGTACAGTCAGAAGTGCGGGAGGGTGAGAGAATTCACCACCGACAGAGGAGAGAGCAGAACAGGCAGACAGACAAAGTACACTGCTGAGGGGAGCAGCGGGCATGGCAGGAGAGGTCTGCATGCCATGTGGGACCCTCGCCCGGCGGCTGGGGATCGAACCGATGCTGCAGAGGCTGCAGGCAGCTTCGCAACCCAGCCCTCAACCGCTGCGCCACTGGGAAGGCCCTATAGTGAACTTTTGAAAAACTTTTGCATATATATTTTCCCTCATACTGTTTGTCTTTTCATCATCTTAATAAAGGTGTACATGGAACAAAAACTTTATTTTGATGATGTCAAAAATTTTTTTTTTTATGGAATCATGTATTTGGTGTCATTTTAAAACCCTTTGCCTAACCCTAGATCCTAAGGATTTTATCCTAAAAGGTTTATAGTTTTCTAATTTTTCATAGTTTTTCTTATTTTATATTTAAGTTCATGGTCCATTTTTGGCATTAATTTTAATATAAAGTGTGAGCTGTGGGCCGTGGTTAAATTTTCTGCCTATGGCTATCCAGTTGTTCCAGCAATGATTGATTGATTATGATATTTATTTAATTACTTAGCAACTATATCAAAACTGAGGTGTGTGTAAGTCTATTTTGTGTTCTCTATTTTAGTCCATTTACCTTTATATCTGTTCCTTCATCAATATCATGTTTGCAATCTGGTAGACTGGTTCCTCCCCCACTTTATTGTTGTTTTTCAAATTTATTTTAATGTCTCTGCTTTTTCACATGAACTTTACAATAACCTTGTCCCCTCCACCATTCATAAATCTATAAATGCCTCACAGGAAAGAGGAACAAAGAATGTCTGACCCACTTCAACACATTTCCATTCTTTCTAGGGTCTCTGTCCCCAAATGTTTGATTGTTTTTCTCGACATGTAATACCTTCAAAGAGGTAACTTCTTACTTTTTTTATTCACTTGTTCCATTTTTTTCAGAAGGAGATTTTTTTTTTCTGCTTTAAGATTCGTAATAAAACCTGTAAGTTGAAATACTTACATGGCAGCATAAGCCAGAGAAGTAGACTGAGAGAGTCTAGACCACATTGCCTGTGCTTTCCCCGTGAAATGAGTTTAGGTTGTAGACGATGAAGTGAGAAGTCTTGGAAATGTAATCATGAAGTGGAGAGCTTGAGGAGAAGGGCAAATGTTTGAGATAATCATGAGAAAGTTGAAAGTAAAGTCATTTGCTCCTGATCCCAACATAAATTATAGGGGATCTGTATTGTGGATAAACTCATCAATATTGTTTCCTTGTCCTAGGTGACCTGATGAAATACTTGATGGAAAATGAAGACTGCATTCACTTATGCATTGTTGCATTTTCCATTGAGGAAAAGCAAAATCAAATCACGGTTACTGCGCTGTTCAACAACCAAGCATATCATTCACCAGCTCTCAGCCTGGCCATGGTAGACAGCGTCCTTTTCAAGGCAGTGTCTGGCCCTGATGCCTCCTTAACAGTCTTTAATAAACCTCAGCCACATTTTTATGATAAAGAATACCATTTCCAGTATGTTGTTATTTTTGTCAGGATGACTTCTACACTTTAAACGCTTTTCTTCCACCTTACCTGACATTATTAATATGATTTAAAAAGTTATTGATAGGAAACTACTATATTGAATTTCCAATAGATGTTTTTTGGTTCCTTCTTCTGTAGGAAGACAAACGGATTCCAGGTGGCCTTAAATATACAGTTTGGCATGTCTGTTTTGGTCAGTGGCTATTGTCTCCTGGCAGTGACTGAGAGAGTCTCTAAAGCAAAACACATGCAGTTTGTGAGCGGGGTCCCTGTCCTTGTGTTCTGGCTCTCTGCTCTATTGTGGGATTTCATCATCTTCTTCATTACCTGCTGCTTGCTACTGGTGAGTGCAAAAGTTTCTTGAGGATTCATTTGCCTTCTGCACCCCAGGGAAAATTCCTATTCTTTAACTATGTCATAAATTTAGTTCTGCCAATAAACTATCTTTGCTCCTTAGCTTAGAAAATATTGTAAAAATGTCAGGGTAGAAACAGTCTCTCATATCCCTTCATTGGGAAAAAAAAAAACTTTATTTTGTAAAAACACTTTTATTTAACTACCTTATTGTATTTATTCTGTTTGTAGTATGCTTGCTCAGAAACAAAATAACTGTAGTTATAGGTAGTGGATATTCAATTATGCTATACTTACTGGTTGTCTCTATTGCTATGGCTACCTCCACCACACCACCATCAATTGTATAATGACATTCCAGGTGTAACCTTCCTGTTGACTTCTTGGTTGTGCTGTTACGTAATTATGTAATTGCCTGAAGGACATACCCTGCCATTTCTGTAGAAACTGTACTTCCTCTCTAATGAGATGCAGATTTCCAGATATTTATTTTCTTTGGCAACTATAGGTTCCTCTGTACCACCATCCATTCAAATAAGGGCCCTCCAATGTTGTGTTTTACTGTCTGACTTTCCACTTTAATTCAGAAAAATTAAGAGAGTGATTCCAGAGTTGTTTGGGTGGTGTGAAGGGAGTTGGGGAAGTAGACTTGAACCTGGAGACCCAGTTTAAAGAATAAAGATGACAGGTAAGTTATGTAATAAGAGGGAGCATCTTTAGATAAATATTATCTTTAGATAAGACTATTCACCTCTTTCTGGAAAAGTTGAGAGTTAAGATTATTAAAGGAAACTATATTGAGTTTGTTCATGAGTAAAAATTTTTCCAAATAGGAAAAAGCTCTGTTTACAGGTCTGTCCTCTCAGAAGAAGAGATGGCATTAAATTCATACTCCTAGGCTACAGCTTTTTTTAAATACCAAAATTGCTTTAATTAATGAATATTATGTTAAAGAAACATGAGACTCAACTGTTTTCTTCTCCAGTATTTCTGGCTTGAATTGTGTTTGCACTTACCCTTTACTTTTCCAATATCTCTGTACTGTCTGTGTTTCAGGGAGTGCTCAAATTCTGCCAGTTGGACTTATATGTCACAGATTACCATTTTCTGGACACAATGCTGATCTTAATGCTGTATGGCTGGTCTGCCATTCCCCTCATGTACCTGCTGAGCTTTCTGTTTACTACAAGCTCTTCTGCCTACATCAAGCTTGTCCTATTCAACTACCTTTCAGGAATCTTTGGTCTCCTCATAGACCACATGTTAGAATTTGGTAAGAGCAAGAGTGTCACAAAATGCCTCCTTTTTGTCCCTGCATCTTGTAGCTCCACAACATGACTTTAGGAATCTTCTGCACCTGATTTTAGAAATATTTGGAGCAGTTGCCCCTGAGAATTATTGACTCATTGAAGAGTTAGTGCCATTCTGAGCGAGATGAAAATTATTTTTAATTGCATATCTTGTCAGTTTTTAGACTTTTCCCATCCCTAAGGAGCCAGTCATCATTTTGTCAGATTGAGATATTCTGTTCTCGTCCTCATCTCAGAAGATCTTTCTTTTTTGGAGATAAGAAGATATTTAAGACAGAGAGACGCCCAAAGATATTACACAAGTCATACATGACTTTAAATTTATTGAAATTAAATACAATTTAAAATTCATTCCATAGTCACATTTTTAGTCTTATCTAAAATTCATTCCATAGTCAGAACCACATGGTGGGTATTAGTGAAACTCAAGACCTTTTCCATATTTATGAAAAGTTCTGTTAAACACTGATGTTCTAGTATATCAAGAATTATTAAATCTGGAATAACTGTCTCTATATCAAGTGAAGATCTACACAGGTCAGAATTGGCATGGCTTTGGCACTTAAGGTTTCACTGCTTTCTACTCCAAGTGTTTTATATGAGCTTTCTATTTAGAAAAGTCTTTCATATTCTTCCCCCAAAAACTGAATTCAATATCAAAATTCTGTAATGGCAATTTATAAATGAAGCATGTTTGTATCTCTGAGAACTCAGACTCTAATTATTATTCAGTTTAAATGGGTCCTTTGAAGAAACATTAGTTATCAGCTGGTTTCTTTGAAGATTTTTCTACTCAAAAATATACCAGAATTTTCCCCTACAGTTGGATCCTAAGATTTGTCTACTTTACTCCCTTAGTCAATCAATTAAGATTAAAAATGTGAATAATAGACAGTAATGGTTTCCTGTTTGTGTCATATGCCAACAAGACTTAAAAGAACACCCACTTCACCTAAAAGACTTCAGAACCCTGATATTATCAACACAAACTGTGTCACTGGCTAGCAAGTGGAACAAACTTACTGGAAATTAATTAGTGTTCTTCAAAGAAAACCTAAATAAGGGGCCAGGAAAAAGACTAATTATAGGGCCTCCCCGGTGGCTCAGCGGTTGAGCACTGGGTTGCGAAACTGCCTGCAGCCTCTGCAGCACCAGTTCGATCCCCGGCTGCTCCCCGGCCACCAGAGGAGGGTCCCACATGGCGCGCAGACCTCTCCTGCCGCCCGCTGCTCCCCTCAGCAGTGTATTTCGTCCGTCTGCCTGCTCTGCTCCCCACTCTGACTCTGGTGAATTCTCTCACCCTCCCGCGCTTCTGACTGTACCCAGTGCTTATATAAATAAATAAATAAATAAACAAACAAATAAATAAATAAATCTTTAAAAAAAAAAGACTAATTATAATAAAGTAAAAATCAAACTCAATAAGCAACTATAAACCAGAGATACACTATGGGGCTGGGGGCGGGGTAGGGGGAGGGATCAAAACAAGGGGAGGTGGTAATTGGATGGGGACTATAACCAAGATGAAAATGCATACATTGTGCAAAAATGAAAAATGACGTAAAAAACAAATAAAATAAAAATGCTCAAAAAATAATAAAATACATGTATAATTAAAAAAAAAAAGATAATCATCTGGTCTTTAATTCCCTGAACTTGGTTTGATCATCATTGGGGGATTTGTTGTCCTGGAGATAGTTCAATTCCTACAATGAAACCTAATCTGATCTTCTTTTTAGAAATGCAACACAGAATGTCACGTGCTACCAGAACCTTCATGCTTAATTTATTACAGCTCTTTCCCAATTACAACCTTGCGAAATGCATCTCTTATTATTTTGCTTTCTACCAGAAGAAGAGATTGTGCTCCATAAAACAAACTCCCAGCCAGTTATATTGTAAACAAACAAGTAAGTATCTTGGGGGTGCCTAAGTGTCTAGGAAATTAGCCACAACCTTATACATTGAGACATATAGGGAATCTGCCCTGATTTCTAAGGAGAAAGTTAGGACACACGTTCAGCGCATAAAGCATTTTACAAGGCTGGGGAAACCCCTTTGTAAATATTATAAAGCCTCAGAAACAAATCTGAAGTACATTTAAGCAGCCATCAGATAGAGAAATAAGATCACTAATCATCAACTGCAAATAACCTTATGTATGTTGTTTTATACTTTCACAACCTAATTATATTTGTTGTGCCCTAAGTCACAGTTTTATAAGCCAGAACTGGGATTTCAGTGCTTATGTTCTTTCATTGGCAAGAGCGGACAGAGTGAGAAGGGCAGGAATACACAGTAAGTCAGGTCCTACCTAGAAATTAGCCTCAATCGCTTCTCAATCTCAAGGTCATTGAGCAGCCAGTTGACCTCAAGGGAAGCTTGGTATTCACACAGTTGTAAACCATATAACAATAAACAGAGGGTGGAACAACAAAAAATGGAAAAGAAACATTCCCTGCTAAATCTATTGACATGAAAATCGTGGTCTTACTGAGTCTCCATAGTAGCAAGGACAATTGTACAGCAATGGAGGAGGTTTCCACTCTCTGTATATCCTCTCCAATAATTGTTATGTTTCATTTTTTTTGAAATCTAGAACTTTCCTAGTCAGCATGAAGTTGTATCTCATCATTGTTTTGGTTTACATTTCTCTAGTTACAAATGAGGTTGAGCACCTTTGATGTGCCTGTTGTTCATTCCTAGATCTTCTTTGTAGAAGTGTCCACTCATATTATATACCTATTTTTCCCCTTTTTTTAATTTACTTTTGAATGAAGTGCCTTTTTCTTATATATTGTTAAATTTTTGGACAGCATACCTGAGGGGGAAATCATATTTGCCCATTTTTAACTTGAGCCATTAGTCTTGATATCTTCTTCATTTAGGCACCATCTCTGATAAATGAATTTCAAATATTTTCTCTCCTTCTTTGGGAGAATGTGACGGCACCTCCTTGATAGTGTCTTTTGATGCACAGTAACTTTTTGATGTCCAGTTTGTCTTTTGTTTCTTTGATTGCTTGTCTACTTAATTGTCATATCAAGGAAGTCATTGCTTAATCAAAGGGCACAGAGACTTACCCCAATGTTATCTCCTATGCGGTTTGCAGTTTTAGTAGTTATAGTTAGATATTTGATCTGTTTTCGTCGATTTTTGTATGTAGCATGAGGTAAGATTCCATCTTGTTTGTTTTGCAAATGGAGATCCAGTTATTCCAGCCCCATTTGTTAAAAAAGAGTATTTGTTTCCCCCATTGAATTGACCCAGTCCCCATGTATGGGTTTAAGGTTGATCTCTCAGTTATCTTTCACTGATCCATGTGTCTATCCTTTTTCCAGGACAGCCTCCATCTTGACTAATTTGTACTAAGTTTTGATACTAGAACATGGCTATATCTGGATACTTTATAATTCCAAATACATTTAAGAATTAACTTTTCTTTACATTAAAAAAAATCTAGTTGGATTTTTATTGAGCTTGCTTTACTTTCTTACAACAATTTTGAGAAATTTAATGAGTATGATTTTTGGTTTTACAATCTGTAGATTACTTATTTAGTTCTAGTCATCCATTTACTTAGAGCATCTTTATTTTTATTTAATACTGTTATACTCTGGTTTCTTTTCAGATCATGCAAGTCTTCCACCTTTTATTTAATAATGTTTAGTAGTTATTGCTTTAGAAGTACTGCCAATATGTTGTTTGCTTTATTCCTATGTATCTTTTGATGCCATTATAAATCCTATCACTTTTTGAAGTGTCATTTTGTTGTTTGTTGCTGATGATGGAATAAGACAGTTGAAAGAGTTCATTTTTGTGTATTGAGCTTACTATTTTATTAATTTTTTATGAGCTTACTGAATTATTTTATTAATTTTAACAATTTATGTGTAACTTTTCATTTCCAATGGGTACATTCAAAGCAGCTGTGAACAGTGTACTTTTCCATCCATATAAATTTGTTTCTTGCCTTTGACTTACTGTTTGGTCAAGGACATATAGTTCAAGTTGAATCAAAGTGGTGAGAGTAGACATCCAGTTTTTCACTGAAACTCACTATGGCCTATATATTACAGTTCTTATGAGATAGATGTGGGATTCAGAGTTATCCCAGTTTCCTGGATTAAAGAGATTTCTTCCTATTCTGTTTGGTTAGGGTTTTTTCTTAAAATCATAAATAATTGTTCAGTTTTAGCTGATGCTTTTTACTGCTATTGAGATGATAATAAAAATGGTAAAAAGATTTTTCAAAATTTTGCATGACCTTTGAGCTTAAATGTTTTTTTCTAATTTTCAAGTGATGGTTTCACATGTCTGAAAGGTCTTGGGACATGTTTTTATAGCATACAATAACTACTAGACATACCAATGAATAAATTAACATTCACATACACAATTTATAGCAATCTATTATATCCGTGAAGGTCAGCCTTCAAAATTCATTATTGAAGTGGTTATTGTGTAGCAGGGTAATCATTTTTCCCACTCTAAATTCTTGTGTCAAATTAACCTGATATTTGATTTTATCCTACATTTCTTCCTGTTTGTTATTCTTAGGCCTTATTCAAATTGTCAGAATTTTATAGTAAGATATCTTTCTCTCTTTTTTTCTTTTTTTTTTTTTGTGCCATTTTTAGATACTTCAAGGAATATTTACAGTTTCGAAAAGGAAATGATTGCAAAGTATTTGGTTATGATGAGTACCACAGGCTTTGTTTTCCTTCTTTTGCTTTTGTTTTGGGAGACTACATTGTGGAAGCTAAAATTAATTTTCAATCAATATATTTGCTTTGGTATCTATAGGAAATTAAAGAAGGTTAGTAATTAAGCATGGAGCTGAAGGGTAACTCTAGGAAAATGGAAAATTAGGCCTGTCAAGCGTGCCGCCCTCTCAAGTAACTAGATAATGTCCACAGAAACATATTTGCTTAAATAAATTTTATTGAGGTACAATTTACCTATAAACTGCATTCATTTTATTCATTTTGTTGATCATTTCAAAGGATCAGCTTTTGTCTCTCTGAAATTTCTCTATTATTGGCTATTTTCTCTTCCATTGATTTTTTTTTTGTCTTTATTTTTATAATTTCCTTCCTTCTACTTAATTTTGGTTTACCTTTCTTCTTTTTCTGGTTTGCTTGTGGGAAGCATGAAGCCATATATTATAGATCTTCTTTTCTAAAATAAACATTAAATATTAAAGATTTCCCTATGAATTGTGCTCATGTGTATCTGAAAATGTTTGATTATTTATAGTCTTGTTATCATTCAAGTGTTCAAAATATTTTGATTTCCTGTATGATTTCCTTTTTGATACAGATTACTTAAAAGTCTGTAGAACAATTTCAAAGACCTGAGAGTTTTCTAGCTGTATTATTGCTTTTGATACCTAATTTAATTCATTTATGGTCAAAAAATATGCTCTGCATTCAATCTATTTGAGTCCATTAACATTTGTTCCATGGCTCAGCAAGTAATCAATCTGGGTAATGTGCCATGTGCATTTGAAATAAATGTATATTTTGCATTTATTGGTTGTAATGTTTTATAAATATCAATTCGATCATAATGGTTGATAATATTGCTTGTATCACCTAGACTTTAGCTGATATTTTTGTCTGATTGATCTATCAATTGCTGGAAAAGGAGTTTGAAATCTCCAATTTTTATGACATGTTTATTTCTCACCTTAATTCCATCGATTATTTCTATATATACTTTTTAAACCTCTAATTATTGAATAAAAAACATGGATTATTTTATGTCTCCTTGGTGAGCTGAATTATGAAACATTACTCTATATCTCTGGTGAGGTTCTTTGTCCTGAAGTCTATTTCTGCTGATCTGAATATGGCACCTCTAATCTTCTGATACCCTGGTATCTGCCTCCTTCCCCAGATTAAAAAAGTGTTTGGCTCTAATTTTCTCAATTTTTTTATTTTTCTTCTCAAGAGTTTCCCTATTCTCTCAAGATACTTTCCTTCTGGAGGACCCAAGTGATAAAAACCATTTCCTTGAATGATTTAAATTCTGGCTTAAAAATTTAAAGTACATATCTTACCATGTTAATTCACACCTCACTTTCCTGATGAATTATTCATTATTCAAAATTTAGTCAATGTACAGGAGATGCTGAGGTCACAGTAAGATATTTCTTGAAATGACTCAAACCTTGGACATATTTGAGATTATCCTTAAGTATACCTTTCATGAAGTCACCCAGCCCAGACTAGCTGCCTAAAAACCATCCACTTCTGTGATTCTTGTCTTCAAAATATAGCAAAAAGTGTCCTCAGAGTTATCTGGAGACTCCAAAGATGAAGATGTGCAAAATGAAAAAAAGAAAATCCTGGGGCAGCCTCTGTTGATGATGAATTCTGCAGTACTTATTAAGGAACTCACAAAGGTAACATCATTGACCACTGTTTGCTGGCTGCATTCTTAAGCATGGCATTGTCTTCTAAGGGTCTTTGGGGTCTGTGTATACTCTCCCCACGTAAAAGAAGAGTTCTTGTGAAACTGTTTTAAGTAGTGATTGATAGGGACTTGAGGTACTTATGATTTGACCTCCAGATAATCTTTACTATGTTTTCTATATTTTTTAGATATATTTTAAGTGCCCACCCATTCTGGCTGTGAAAAATATCTCCGTTGAAGTCCAAAGAGGGACGTGTTTTGGGTTGCTTGGATTCAATGGAGCTGGAAAAACTACTACCTTCCAAATTCTGACTGGAGAGCAGACTCTTACTTCTGGAGAGGTGTTTATTGATGGTTTCAGCATCACCAAAAATATCCAAAAGGTATGCTGCTCTTATAATCTAAGAAGTGGGAAGCATGAACACGTGGGTTTGCAGGTCAGAGGTCGATGACTGGAGAGAAATGGGAATCATGGTAGGCGTTGAGGTTTTATTGATTTAGTCAGTAAATTCTGGAGAGAAAAATTTTTTGAAGAGAGATAGTAAGACGACAAGAACATAACCTAAGACTTCTTTTGTGTTTTTGAATCTGTTAAAAGGCATGTTCTCTCAGCAGTGCACCTAACACATTCCAGATAAGGTGCCGAGGCCAGGAGAACTGCAGGTCTTGAATCTCATCCGTGAATACTCAGTGGGATAGATGACATGGGTCCTTATTAAGCCAATTCTTGTAATCAGGTGCAATCAAGAGTTGGATATTGTCCCCAGTCTGATGCCTTGCTGGAATACATGACTGGTCAGGAAACAATGATCATGTATGCTAGATTACAGGGAGTCTCTGAGTCCCAGATTCAGCCATATGTGAAAAAATGGTTGAATTCACTACAACTGGAGCCCCATGCGGACAAGCTTATCAGTACCTACAGGTGAGTCATGCTGATCTTTTTGTTTTTGCTGCTAATGCTGAGGTGCCTCACTATGTTTTTGATGTTTTAAATAAATGCCCACAGCCCCACCTAAGTTCCTCCGTCACACAATTATCTGCGAAACTATTTAATGAGTTGCTAGGTTCCAGATGCCAGAAAGATCAAGGCAGTGCCATGTCTTCCTTTTTCAGAGATGAAATTCAGATTATTACTTCTGTTTGAACTATGGCCTATGACCTTCAAAGAGGAGCATCTTATTCTTCCTAGTGTCCAGATGTTTCTTTACCTCCCCATAAAGGAGGAATGTAGGTCCTCTGAATTATGGTGGGATTTCTGTACCTGGGAAATTATGACACACTATGAACAAGTAAATAAAAACTACTGACAGTGCTGCAGAGCTAGGTACATAAAAGTCATTTCCCTATGTTTCAAGTGAAAACAAATTGTTACACACACCTATGTTTGGGTCTGCTACTTGTCGAAGTCACATCTAATCATCACTGTGTATATCCAGGCTAAGTGTTTGCTGAAACTCAGTATTTGATGTTTGTGCTGTTTCCTGTAAATAACTGATTTGTGTGTCCTCCCCACCCCTTCCTTCTCTCCCTTTCTATCACCATGAAGTGGAGGAAGCAAACGTAGGCTGAGTACTGCTATTGCCCTAATGGGAAAGCGCTCAGTCGTTCTGTTGGATGAGCCGTCATCTAGCATGGACCCCAAAGGCCAGCGCCTGCTGCAGGACACTGTGAAACTGGCATGTGAAAGTGGCAAAGCTATCATTATATCGTCCCACAGGTCTGGCTCATTGGGATGTCATAGTGGCTAAGAAGGGAATTGTTTGTGGCTGGGAATATAAGGCAGTGAACTTGCTTGAGTTTGTGTGTTTCTTACTAATCCAAATGAATAGAAAGGTTAAGAATTTTCATTGAATCAGATAACCAAGAGTAGGGAAAGGACAGGAAATTCACACAATGTCTGTTTGGTTATTCTACTAGTCATCTGAAAAATTTCCACTTCCTAATTATGAGCTTTATGATTTGCAAATTCTACTTCCCATTGAAAATTACCATAACATCCTTACTCTGTTTGAAGAACAGAATGTCTCCAAAGGAGAGCTTTGTAGGCTACTTCACTCTGGTGTCTTGTTTTGCTAGATTAGAGGAATGTGACACCCTCTGTACCAGGTTGGCCATCATGGTGAAGGGAGAGTTCGTGTGCTTGGGCAGCCCTCAGTACCTCAAGAACAAGTTTGGCAGCGTTTATATCCTGAAGGTCCAGGTCAAGATGGATGCACCTGAGACTCTATTAGACGATGTAAAATTTTTCATCAGAATCACGTTTCCAGGTAACTGAGGTTGGGTTAACTTAAAGATGTGCTAAATCATGTTTGCTGTTCTCACCATTCCTAAGTTTTATGTCTTCGGTAACTGTTTCCTGTGAGGTATTGATATTTCTCAGTCTTACACACTGAATTCCCTCTAGATGCTTTGTTTCTGTCACCTCTTGTGCCTGCTCATCTTGAGAAGTTTTCACAAAAAAAGTTTCTCATTAAGTTCTTGCATCACTTAATACAGCATTTTTGGATTTGTGCTTTCCATATGAATTATAGCTCTAAAGTCATATTTTTAACACAGTTCTCCATTATAGTCACATATTACCCATACAAGGTTATTTTTCTCCAACTGAGCATGTAATTATGGTCTTCTGATGTCTCAGCCAGTATAAGGTATTGAAATGCAAACAAATAACCACTAAGTTTTTCTTTCCTTTCAAGAGTAAGTCTGCTTCTGCCTTTTAAATTCAATAAACACTTCTCGATCTATATGATAGAAACAACAACTGTTTCTTTATGTCCCTACCTCTCTTTTCTAAACATAAGGCAGGGGCATGGCAAGGCTTTTAATAATTCTGTGGCAAGGAGATAAGTAATACAGTATTTGAGTCACAACATATACGATAGTCAACAACCTACATGTCTGTCAGTAACCAAATGGAAAATAAATCATGGATTATTCCTATGCCATGTTACTATTTAGAAAGGAAATGGATGAATGATAGCTAGATGCAACCACATGAAGGAATCTTATAATATTAAGTGAAAGAAGAAGAAAGAAATGAATCTACACTAGAGGATTCCAGTCAAATAAAGTTGAAAGTAAGAAAATTCCACCTACATTTTTAGGGATACATGCATAGGTAAAAATACATTTTAAAATTGTCCATAACAACAGTGAAGGTGTTGGGCTTTTTCCTGGAGACAGAGGCTGGATTATTATTACTTGACCTAAATGAGGTAGCTTCATCAGTGTTTGCTTCGAGTAATTCCTTAAACCCTGTACTTGGAATATTCAAACACACAAAAACGGCTATCATGATCTTGGAGACAATACATGGCTTTAAATTAATATTATTAACATGTACTGTATTTTAAAAGTTTCGTTACAGTTAACCCAGTGTTCAATAATCTGCAAATATGCATTGATAAATATAAATACATCATTTGTTCTACATTAAAAATGGTTACCATCTTTGTAGCCTTCATCTGCGGATTCTTGCACATCTGTAAGAGAAACAGGAACACATGACCTGACTTAAGTGATTTATATGTTTGATTTCTTCTTTCACATGGTGTGTAATCATGAAGAGAGTACCACAGCTGCACTCACACAACCAGGGTGAAACGCTCCAGGTGCATATTCTCAGCACTATATAATGTTCAGGAACAAAGTCTTCCAGTAATACTAGAATTTAAGAAGGTTCAGGATTTTAAGCTTGAGCAGGTGAACTCTCAATTTTTTATGCCTGAAAGGCTGCCCACCGTAATTTCTGTGGACTCCACCTCAATTGTATGTATTGGGTTCTCATAAAAGTCATGACACATTTTTTTCTGTTTTTCAAAGAAAAAATACATCGTGACTTTTCCGACAGTCCAATATTAAGTAGATGTAGCACATGTAGGCAACTTAAAATCTGTGAGATTATTCACATGTCCCATCTTTCCTTTCGTAGGTAGTACATTACAGCTGGAGAATGAAAGGATCCTTAACTACTACATTCCCAGCAAGGACTTAAGCTGGGGAAAGGTGATTGTAGAAACACTGCCCTTTTAACATGTGTTAAGAAAGCACTAATGGTGGGGGAAGTGTTTGATCTACAAGTATGTGTAAGGGATTCTGGCACTGTAGGAAGAGCAGAAACTTAGGTTACTTCCCAAAGGTCCCCTAGAATTTAATTGCTTTGATTTTTACTCCCTAAGTCCCATTATTAGTGCATGTCCCTCAAGAGATGAGGATAGAGACCTGCCTGCACTCTTATCCTTTCTCACTGATTTCCCATCTCCCTGCCAGTGCTTTTTATCCCCCCAACAATAACTGGGCAGGAGTTGGAGGAGGGGGGAGAGAAGTTCATCGGGGTGAGGGCTGGAAGGGAGAACAGCAATGGTAACTGTACATTCTTTGTGTTGCTGTTAAAGGTGTTTGGTATTTTAGAGGACGCGAAAGAGCAGTACAGTTTAGAAGACTATTACATCAGTCAGATAACGCTGGAACAAGTCTTCCTGACTTTTGCCATCTCAGAGGCCCCAGATGATAACGAGGAAAAGCACTATGAGATTTAGTTCCAACCGGTGATCCTTAGGACATCCTTCAGCTAATCCCTCCTGCTCCTGGAGACATCCAGGGGCATTCCTGGGTGTGTATATATCTTGGTGTAAATATATTTGTGCAATAAAGAGTTTCTCCAAAAGAAACATTTCCCTTCTTTGTAGATTTCCTTGGGTGGCCTGTGTATCCAGAGTGTGCAAATTTGAGGAGAGGGAGAAATTCCTTTTTTCTCTCCTATATATACAACAGAGCAGCATTAATCAAGGTGGAAAAGGATCTATCTATGAATATTCTGAATGTTTGGACAGAAACACCCAAAAATGATGGTGCTATCAGTTGGAACAGCTTGAAGAGCAGAGATTTATGTTTTCAGCTAAGTTATGGATAAGAGGAGCATTAAGCCTGGAGCAAATCATGTTTCCTTTTTCTAAAGACACACACACACACCAATTTCATACCAAAAACAATCTAACGTCTATCAAATTTTAAGGGGTAAGTTGGGTCATTTCTAAAACTTACACCAATAGTCTACATTTGTAAGAGAACCCTTGCACCAAGAACATTTAGAGCCCAACAACATCAAGCAAACGCTGATTTTACAATAGTGTGTTTTCTTAACCTATTCTTGCCCCACCTCTGTTAAGAAGAAAGGAGAATTGGAGTGGAAAGGGGGAGCTCGTCTCATGTTTGGTTGGGCAGATGGAGAAATCTAACCACCTCACCAAATTCCCAGACAGATGAGCAGACAACGGGATGATCCTTGTTTGAATCGCATGCTGAAGAGTCCGTGAAGTTGCTCTATGTGGGGATGGTAGTTCAGCTGGGTATTGTGAATAGTGAAGTGATTTCCAGGAGCTGTTCTTTGTTCCATTGCTTTTAAACTGTAGTAGAACTTTCTGAATCATCTTCAACTAACTGCCACACCGAGGGTGACCATGATCATAAGACGGGCGCTCAGGAGGTTGTGAAGATTTGTGGGGTCACCCAGTAGTGTCCAGAGGAGAAAAGCCTGGGAGGAAGGAACACCCAGGTAGGGCTTTCAGGGTCTGGGGGCTCCGGCAGTGGGCCCCGAGGGATCACGCGGGAGGAGGGCATCCCGTGGTGTGGAAGGAGGCGGCCAGCGCCCATCCGCAGGCGGGGGCGGGGCTCGTGCGTTGGCCTCTCACTCGCCTGGGGTTCTTGGCAGGGGGGGCGCCCCTGTGGGAAGGGCGCGAGGCCAGGACTGCAGATCCACCCGCGGGGGGCGGTTGGGGAGAGCGTTGGGAGAAGCCGCACCAGGTGGAGCCTGGCCCTCCTGCGGGAAGTCGTAGGTGTTTGAGACCTGAGAGGTGAGTGTGGGACCCCCCTCTTCAACACCCCCCTTCCCCCCCCCTCGCCTCTCCTCCCTCCAAGGCGCCCAGCTCTGGCGAGGGCTCCAGGACGCCCTGAAAGACCTACCCTCTCGGCACTTGGATCGCAGTACCCGAAAGTTCGTATCTTCCCCAAAACACAGACAGGGACACAAACACAGAAACCTTCCCCAGCTCGCGCTGCTCCCCTCCAAAACAAAACACAGATCTGTGTATATACTATGTGGAGTTTACCTACGTGTAACACTCCTATAATTGCGTGATTTGTCCCCCACATGGTCCCCACATTCCGTGATACCCCTTCTAGCCTGTTGCCTTTGCTTAGGATTTCCTCAAGAGGGAAGGCCAGACATCTTAAGAACTCAAGGAACTACCCAGGAGACGACAAAGAAGAAAATGTAAATTATGTCTTGCTTTTCCTCCTCCTGGGTTATCCCACAACTGTAGTTTTCCCTGGGAAGGGGCAAACTCAAGAACTGCCCCCGTCATCTTGCTCTTGGTGATATTATCTCTTTTATGAAGCAAAGACTGAAGGGGGAATGGGACACAGTTTTAAAATGGAGTATTTTGGGTGCCAAATTGGGCCCATTACCTGGTGGCAGGAGCCAAAAGCCAAGCCACCCAGCTTTTGCGAAAAGAACCAGTTTAATTAATGCAAGGTGACTGGCTGGAGACTGGATTTTGGCACTTTCACTATTAAATATGTACTTAAGTGGAAATTGTTCATGTATCCTGCTTGGGGTTGGTGTGCATCTTGTGTCTGTGGCTATATGTATGTCATCAATTGCTTCAGATATTTTCTCTTGTTCCCTCTGTTTATTCTCTCCCTAACCCTGTGCTTTCATTACATTTTATAACTACATACCACTTTTATCTTTCATTTATTTTTCTATACATTTGCCTCTCCATGTTTCATTTTGAGTATTGTCTTCTAAATTTTCTGGACTCCTAACTTTACTTCAGTTGTCTGAGTCTGCTATCCTTTAAGATACAATTCAGTTACAACATTATTTTGTTTTAGAATTTCTGTTGATTTTTTTTTTCACCTTTGTCACGCCATTGTCATAATTTGCAGTTCTCTTCTCAAATTCTCAGTATTTTTTATCTTTGAACACAGTGGATGTTTTTACTTGAATAATTCTTGGCTGATAATTCTTACATACGGACCCTTTCTATTTGTAGCTTCATAGTTTCTCATTCATGTAAACTTGTTTTCTGTGTCTTTTTTTTTATATTTTTTGTATTGTGTTCGAGCTCACATGTGGAAAATTGTTTTTAGAAATAATTTAGAATATTTTTAATTCCTCCCAAGAGGGTTTTTTGTTTGTATGTTTGTTTGCTTCTGCCTGACACTTCAATTCAGTCCAGAGGCAGAGACACGTTGGAGCTCTTTTGTATTTGCTGCAGTGACTGACTGACTTCTGGTTTACTTTAACTCTTGACAGCTCAAAGCCATGAAAGTTTACTAGTACAACCCCAACCAAGGCTTGTGGATTTAACTTTGTCACTCCACCATGAGGCTGGGCTCACTATGAGGCTAGTTTCAGAAGGGCTGCTCAGCTTCCTTGTCTCTTGACTGACTCTTTAGAATCTTTACCAAAGAGGAAAGATTCCCCAAAAGCTGTGCCTACCTCTACAAAGTTCAGTCTTCTAGTTGTATTCAACAGGAATGTTTATTTGTATTACTTATTCCCTGATTTAAGAGAAAAATTATGAGGAATTAATCCTACCATTTGCTGATGTTCACATTAACTGGTAACTTAACATTAAACAGCCTTTCTTCCATCCCTAGTATTGAACACTCTTTGTAGAAGAATGTATTTGTTGACACTCAAGCAATTTGCAGTGCTCCTCTGGAAAAATTTTACCATAAAGGTAGGTAACCATGGAAATTGTCCACAGATGCCCATTTGTTGTAGTTCAGTTTGTGTGTGTGTGCTTTTGAAAATCAATTCCAGAGCTGTGGGTGGCTTTTGCAAATCTATAAGCTGAGTTAAAAATATAGTGTGAACTATAAAAAATTGAGAGGGGAGGCAGGGTGGTATGAGACAATTCAGGAAACACTGGCTGTTCCCAAGTAAAACTGGCAGAAGCTTAATATTAGAATAACCATTTGCTTTAACTGTGTACTCTCAAGTCAACTAATGCCATTTTTTTATTCCTCTAGAGGAGGCGTTTCATTAATTTAATATTGGAAGTCTTAACAGCACTGACATTTCCAATGATGATTTTGCTATTCCGTGTAAATACTAAGATACATGGTACTCGATCTTACAATTTTATTCCTCAATCCATCAGTAATCTGCCTTTTTCGCTACAAAATCCTGACGAATGGGAATTGATTTATGTGCCTTCTAATATTAATGTGGTAAAAGAGATCACTGAGAATGTGCAGAAGAATCTAAACATCAGTATAAAAGGTTAGAAATTAAGATTTTCTGTAAAATTTATTGTTTTTTGATGGCACTAATACCAAGACAGAAAAAAAGAATAAAGTTGAAAGAATCACACTTGTTAATTTTGACTAAAAATGTAACCGTAGTTATATATTGACACTATGATATTGGTTGAGGAATGTAAACACACAGATCATGAAACAGAATAGAGAACCTAGAGATATATCTACACAAATAAGACAATAGTTTTTACAACAGTGCAAAAGAATTTGGCGCAAGATAATGTTTTCAGCAACTGATGCTGAACAATTGACTATCAATAGCTAAAACAGTGAAACCTCACATCTTAAGCAAAATCTATATGAAAGTGGATTACAGATCTAAGAGTAAAATGATAAAACATTTAGTGGAAAATCTTTGTAATTTAGATGAAGAATTCTTAGACATCACATCAAATGCAGAGGCGATGAAATTCAAAAATAGATGGATTGTATTTCTGATACATATTATTTGTGGTTGTTCTTGGAGCTAAAAAGTGCATATGTAATTACTCACGATCTACTTACAGCTAATATTTTATCACTTCATTGTAATGTCAGGTGTTTACAAGTATATCGGCCTCTTTATATTTATCTCTCAATGCTGTAGTTTTTGTTTCTACCAAAATGGAAAACTTCACCAGAAAATGTTATAAGTCACACATATTTAAAGAACTTAAGAAGACAAAACTGTTTACACAGATATTTTCCATAACTTGCTCCTCCTTTCACTCTCAAAGTTGCAAAGTTTTCTTTTCATACTGTTTTCTTTCTTTCTGAAGGACTTCCCTTAATAATATTTAGAGCACATCTCCTAATGCATTCTCTTTGTTTTCCTTCATCTGATATTATCTCTACTCAACTTCCTTTCTGGAGGATATTTTCTTTTTTTTTTTTCCCACTTTTTTTTATATTCCCCATACAATTGCAACCCCGATTTTGACCCCAATCCCTCCTTCACCCCCCACCCAAAGAGTGTCTCTGGTCCATAGTTGTTTGTTGATTTTGATTTTTTTTTCTTTCTTATAGTTATTCTTTTTCCTGGTCCATATTTAGGTTTTCTAGATTCCTGTTATGAATGAGACCATCCGGTATTTTTCTTTTTCTTTCTGGCTTATTTCGCTGAGCATGATCCCTTCCAGCTCCATCTATGTTGCTGCAAATTGCATGTGTTTATCTTTTTTTGAATGCTGAGTGATATTCCATGGTGTATATGTACCACATTTTCTTGATCCAGTCATCTATTTTTTGGCATTTGGGTTGTTTCCAAAGCTTAGCTATTGCAAATTGTGCTGCTATAAACATAGGGGTGCAGGTGCTCTTTGGAATTGATGTTTCTGTGTCCTTTGGGTAAATACCTAAGAGTGGAATTGCTGGATCACATGGAAGCTCTGTCTTTAGTAGGTTGAGGAATCTCCACACAGCTCTCCATAGTGGTTGGACCAGTTTGCATTCCCACCAGCAGTGCAGGAGAGTTCCTTTCTCTCCACATCCTCTGGAGGATATTTTCATTGGGTATCAAATTCTGATTTAATATCTCCTCTTTCAGCATTTAAAAAATATTTGCCATTTTCTTCTGACTCCTTTGGTTTCTGAAAAGAACTATGCTATCATTTGATTCCTTATTTCCCTACAGGTAATGTGTCATTTCTCTCTAGATGCTTTCAAGATTTTTTTCTGTCTTTGTCAGATGTTTGATTGTGATGTGTGAAGTGTGGTTTTATTTAATTTCGGGGTTCAATGAGCCTTTTGTATCTATAAATTTCTATCTCTCACCAAATTTGGGGGATTTTCAACAGTTATTTCCCAGTTATTTTTCCACATGACTTTCTGTCTGTTCTCCTTGGACTGTAATGACACAAATACTACACATTTTGTATTGCCCCACAGGTCATTGAGGATCTTTGCAACTTTTCTCCAATCTTTTTTTCTTCTTTTGTCCAGACTAGGTCATTTATACTGATTGATCTGTCTTCACTGATTTCTTCCTCTGTTACCTCAATACAACTATCGAGCCATCAACTGAGTTTTTTTTAAAGCACAGTTTGACATGATCTCCACCTCCTGATTTGTCTTGTTTCTTTTAAAATAGCTTTATGAAATATAATGTACATGCCTATATTCACCCATTTAACATGTACATTTCAGTGGTTTTTAATATATTCATAGTTATGCAGTCATTACCACAGTTTTATAGCATTATCATCACCAATCTTTAGCCATTGCCCCACAATTTTTAAGCCCACCAGAGTGAAGAAAACACT